GATATATACATTCATTTACGTAACGATACATACCATCAAATTTGTTCTCATCCTGAAATATTTGCCACTGAACGTTAAGTAAAGCAACTATCAACAGGGGCGTAGCTACCTTCTTAATGAAGTGGAATCACAAACTGTAGGGCGAGGGGTCTGGGGGCTGCCTAAGGCCCCCAGTAGGTCCAGGGCAAAGCCCTGGTAGGGGGGCCAGGGGGGCGAAGCCCCCCGGAAGCTCCACATATATAGCGTTTCAAAACAATCACAACCGAAATAAAACTTGGACATTTTTGTTGTGGTTTTTTGGTCAACTATTTGTTTAACTTCGAATCGAATGAAGACTTAACATTGTCGCTTGCGTTTTTTGTACGTGAAAGCTTTTAGAATCACGGAGATTTGTTCCATATGCTAGTATTTGTATTGAGCAAAGTAGATTTAAAAAAAAACAAACAATAAACATAAACACAATACTATATGTGGAGTTTCTGTTAGCAAAACATCATGGATACCAAATACTTGGTGGACACATTCTCATATATTTTGCTTAACATATGTATTTAGATGTTTAAAAATTTTGTGGGTAAACTCTACAAGAGAGAGATGGGAATTTCGAATTTTACGTAGTTAGGAATATTCGAAGTTGAAATTAATGAACTTTTTCAGAGTAAATGGTACTTTGATCACGATCTTTTTCATGATCTGCGTTTTTAATTAGCCAGCTAATTAACAAATGCATATGCATTCGACCAGTTGTATGGCAATATCTAGATGATAACAGTGAAGATACGTGTAATAAAAGTTTGGTGTATCTTTCGAACACTGAAGAATCAGTAGTTTAGTGTCCTACTCGGACAGACAGTTCTTTTTAAAATTGAATGACCTAATAGTCCAGTAAAACGAGTTAGAATTAACAATTTATTTAAATGGTTTTACAATCAACCATTCGTATAGCCGGCCCATATAGAAACGACTTCGAATTATCGAATCTATATAAAAGATTTTTTTTGTAAAATAAATAAAAACGTAAAACATGTACTGGAAAATGTGTACTTTTTTTTTATAATAACAGTTCCAACTTCTCATCTACTAGTATACGGAAACTCTTGATTGATTGAATGGTTATTAATGTTCGGTAGCAAATATTACATGCACACAGGACGAGATACGTTGACGTGATGTGAAAATGAACTATTCGTGTTGTCAAGACCTCCATTCTTAGTCAATATTGAACTAGTTCACAAGGTTACAGTCATTATTCCCGGATCGATACGAGTTTAAGAGTCTTCATTCTAGTAAGATGTGTGCTTTGGGGCGAAGCGGAAAATAATAATTTTCAAGTTTTTTTGTTAACCCTAGCCGAGGGATTATGTTTTTTTTTACACTCAAAGCGAGTATACGGTATGGTTGTGGTACCAACAACTATGTAGCTGGTATTTTCTAAACAATGCCCGTAATATAAAAAGTTCCCCCAAGTTTACACCAGTTGTATGTATTTATCGTACACATACATGTCTTACAGGATTAAAAATTCCGCTGCATGTGTATTCCTCTTGCTTTTATTCTTTGTGTAGTTTTTAAAATGCATACATAGAAAGACCAATTCATATATGTTCCCTCACTCTCTCTCTCTCTCTCTCTCAGTTTTTTTTTTTTTTTTTTTTTTTTTTTTTATGTGAAAACGACGTGGATGCACATGCTGCCGTGCCTCCGGGTAATTACGCCCCTGATCAACCGTGGCAACCTTTTTTAGACTTATGTGGCATTTTCTGATACATTTACCTTAAAGTTCCATTACCAGTGTCGGACCCAGAAATTATGAAAGCGGGGGTTCACATCCCCTCCTTCTTTGATTTGAATGCATTTTCAATATCTTCAGTGATGTCAATTTTCGACTTGCAGTGTTCATAAAAACCCTATTGTTTATTTTTATTTCCAATGTTTTTCTTTTGATATTCTGAAAGCATTTTATCAAGGCCATCTTCTCATACTATTTCAAAATTCTTTCATTTATCATAAGGAGATGTGGTATGATTGCCAATGAGACAACTATTCACCAAAGTTGAAATGAAGTGGATGTAAGCAATTATAGGCAACCATGACCTCAACCATACGGCCTTCAACAATGAGAAAACCCCATAACGCATAGTCGGCTATAAAAGGCCCCGACATGAAATCTGAAACAATTCAATTGATAAAACTAACGGCCTTATTTATAACAAAACAATTTGCAAAACACAAATATGACATACATGAACCATTAACGACAACCACTGAACTATACAGGATCCTGGCTTGGGACAAGCACATACAGAATGTGGCGGGGTTAAACTAGTTTGCTGGCGCCAAAACCCTCCCCTAACCCGAAACAGTTGTTTAACAGTACAACATAAGAATAAACTATAAAAATCAGCTTAGAAGGGCTTTATACTCACCAGATCGATACAAAGTAGAAAACATATAACGAAAACACAGACCGGACGTGGCAGCGCTAGCGTATCTATACATCCCACAACAAAAAAGACACTACGTAAAGACCAGAGAGTACTCGTAGTTACTGACAAAGCCAATAACAAATAATAACTGGATTTAGTGTAAAGACGTCATTAACAGTCAGAGAAAAACATGACATTGTGTAATGCCAAGATATAGGTATCGACATATTGTAGTACCGTGAATGTGCATATGTATATACAATAATATTCAGTATGATTTTAATCTACTGATAACAAAGTCAATATATTTATACTAATAAAAACAATATCCAAAGATCTCATCACAGTGTTGCATTGGTAACCTTTTAGAATAAGTTTATATAAAGGATTGATAAGTTTACCCGAATCGTATCTAAATTTCCGGGCTCGGTAAACAACATTCCCGTAAAAATTAGGATGTTCTTTTGCGTTTGAAATAAGTTTTCTACAGGTACAACCTGCAAACCAATCTTTGTATCTATGGAAGAATTTAGTTATATGATTTTTATTATATTTTTTAACATATAACAATAGATACTACAATTTGACAAAGTATAAAAAAGCAGCAGTAGTATACCGCTGTTCAAAAGTCATAAATCGATTAAGAGAAAACAAATCCGGGTTACAAACAAAAACCGAGGGAAACACATCAACTATAATTAAGAGGAAAACAACGGAACAACAGAAACACTGAACTGCAATAAAAACAACAGCAAACATACATAGAACGGACTATTTGATAACAACTGCCATATTCCTGACTTGGTACAGGACATTTTAAGAAAAATGGTGGGTTGAACCTGGTTTTATGGCTAGCCAAACCTCCCGCTTATATGGCAATGTTAAAAATATATCGCTAAAATGACAACACTACGTGACAGGAATACAGTACAAACAAACGCAAGAACACACAGCACAGAGAAATGCATAAATAAATAATATAATAGTACATTACAACATGTAAACCACAGAAAAAAAAAAACGGAAATTTCCCATGAATTAACGACACCACAGGACACCACAAACTGCGTCACATGAATGGATCAACGCCACAAAAAGTGACGTATTTTTGTGATGTATATATGATCATATATAATCTAGAAATTCATAAAATTATATGGAACGAGATCCAAAAATTCACAATTATTTTCACAATACTAGTCCAAATAATTATTATTATTATGACGGCTTTGAAAGGCTATTTTAAAATAATGATGTGACGACGTCATAATTATTTGGACTAACACGATACTTTATCTTTGGAAAATGAAAATAAACTCGACTATACTGACAAATAAGACACGAAATGTACCGAAAATACAGAATTCAAACCACAAACGATAAGCCATAACACAATATTGAACCGTACTCATAACTAAATACATGATTGTTGGATGTATAGATACCGAGACACGTCATATAGCAATGCGAATTCACATTCGGCAAAATAGTCATATTCAGGAATAGGTCACGTTCGGTACTTAGCAGACAGACGTAGATGGTAAACCACAATCTAAGACGTGGTAAAAATGTCGTTAGTTAGTTTAGACACAGACACATCGTATAGATCAACCAATTCGTGATGGTGTCCCGTGATAAAATTTACGGAGTGTCATTTTTAATCTTTCCTCCCTGAGACTACTATAACGTTATAGTATAGTATTATACACCTATTGACTGGTTATGGGGATAATAGCAAGTTTGTTGTCCCTGAGATACCAGCTATTGCTCGAGGCGAAGCCGAGGGCAAATGTTAGTATCAAAGGGACAACAAACTTGCTATTACACTCATAACTAGTCATTAAGTGTTTTATTATACCGAACAAAACAATTTTCTAAAAAGATTACATACACCACTTGGAAAAAACCCCAAAAGTCACATAAACACACACAAGATGAGGTATCATGTTTTTTTTTATTTTGTCCGTGTGGTATTTGTCAATATTTTATTTACTTTAATCAAGATCAGGAATCCTTGTGTAATAATTCCCGTGCATATAATAAACGCTAGCTAAAACATATTACCATGCATACACAAAAGCAATCCCAGATTATGAAGACGACGACAGACCCATACCATATATTTGTTATGTTTCAGTTCTTAAATATGTCTTGTAGATTTTCTTTTTTTTTTTAATTGCATCTGGTAATTAATATAGTGATTTGAAATTACGACGACAGGCACATACAGATTATACCGTTTACAATATTTCCGGGGAGGGGGGGGGCTAGGATGAAAATGTTTGTCCTGCATTTTATTTTTAGTTGTAATCTCTGTCCTACCTTTTTATTTTTCACTCTATTTGGTCCTGCCTTTTTTTTTATTAGTTTATCCTGACTATTTTTACATAAATTGTCATCCTGCCTTTTTTTGGCAAAATTATTCATCCTGCCTTTTTTTTTTTAACTCAAAACTCCTGTCAGGCCTGCCTTTTTTTCAAATTTCATCCTAGCCTCCTTTATTGATAATCAGTGATAAAACCTTAATTAAGGGTTACTTTTGCTGTTATTTTTAAGTAAAATTTTAATGCGGCGTGTCGAAGTGACAATTTCCATTATTTGAAGTTATTTGATTGTGTTACTGTCTCAAGTTTCTTTTTAATATCTAATCAGAGAGATCTATGTCTAGACTTTGATCAAATGCTTCTGATGTTACCGTCCACTAAAAATGTATGATACATTATCCGGAAAATCACTTCTTTTCCGTTATAGGTTTTATATTAGACCACCATGTTAGACTGGGCAGGTTCTTCTGTCTAAGTTTATAACCGATTGCAACAATTTTAAAGATGTTTAAAAAGTCGAAACTTGTGTAAGGTAAGTCAGTTAAGTCTTTCTGATATTTGACTCAGCTTGTCACAGCTCAAAACTATACGCATGTATACAGGAGGCGACTTGTTTATGTTTATAAACTCGGTTGAATCAGAATACCTACCATGTAGAAACTACCTTACCTTTCTAATTCAATTCAGGTAGATGCAATACAGGTAAACATGTACTTTACTTATTTTATTAATTTGTTCTAACAGAAATACTTATCATGATATTATATATGTAACGATTTATTATAAGCCCATTGGATGATCTTGAATTTAAAATACATAAAGATCCTAATTGCAAATGGCATTCATTAACTTTAATTTATGCTTCAATAAATATGTATAGCGTCATGAATAAATCTACCCGACATATTGGTCATGGTTGCTTAAATTTCTTCTCAATAATGTCTCGTTTATTTGAATTTTACATTTACGCTTTAGTATTTTTGTTATAGTATGTGTTGGAAAAATTAAAACGTAAAATAGTTATAGCGTGTATAAATTTACTAATTAAAATCAATATCAAAGCTTTGACAATTACATATTTTTCCTTTAATTTCACTATGATTTGTAAATTGAAATCAATACGGAAATGGCTGGGCTATTCTTCAATGGTTATGTTTAAATTAAAGTACACTATCACGATTTTGTTTGCCCTTAAGGAAGTAAACATCTGGTTAATATTAACTGAAATTCTATGGAGAGGGATTAAAAATGAAAACAATTAAAAACTGTAAATTTAGAAATTATTGCGATGCTTTTAGTACAATGTAGTAATCTGAAAATGTGACAGCATCATGATTCCAATAATAAAAAATAGCAGGGGTACTTCTTACAGTGATTTCAGAATCACCTTTTTTAAAGTGATTTAGGCATTGAAAAATTATTTTTTTTTTACAAAATCAGACACATGCAGACTTCTTAAAATCACTGAAACAAGGAATTTGAGAAGTAAAAATGTAAACACGTACTTCAATAAGTGTTCATAACATTTTCTTGATATTTTTACCACAAGCTTGATTTTTTTATTGGTTAAAAGACAAGGATTTCATTTTAAAAAACAAATATATGTATGCAGAAATTATCTTTTGCTGGATACGCCTATCAGCTTTTACAGTTTATTTCAAATATACATAAACTGGGATAATTTGTAGATCAGGATATAACCTTGAAGTTGAACATTCTAAGTGTAAAGAAGACCAATCAGGTTATTTAAAATTGTTGACCTTTGTTTGATTGTAAGAGTAGTTAATGAATATTTGATAACAGAAAAATTCCCAAGGGTACCTTTTAAGGCTTTAGTGCACTAACTTACTGCCCAAGCGGACAGATGAAATTGATTGATAATAACAAGAGAAAGGGTTAATTGATCTATATAGGAAAATTACAAAAAAAATGTCATCTTATATGGAAAATTAATGAAATTAGCTTTTGAAGATCTTAGGAAACACCAAAATCACTCAAATAGGTGATTACTGAAACTTTCAAATCACCAGAATATATTAGTCTTCACAGTAAACTTTTTGGACCACAGGCCCACATCCCATTTTTCAGAATTTTTTGTTTAAGTTTTTTAGGCCTGAGGACTAATTTTCAGAGGCCCACTAGGAAGTTTAGAAGCCTCGGGCTTCAGACTACTGGTTAATCATGAAGACTACTAATTAATAAAGTAATATATTGACACATTCCTATGAATAAAGGAAAATATGGAGTATGGATTGATGAAACAACAACCCAACAACACTACATACATATATGGTCATCATTGAGTCCAACAACAGACTAGTTGTCTGGGAACACAATTATTGCCCTTTAATTTTTGTAGCCTAGGATCCTGGCCCAACCTCCTCTTCGAGTCAGTAAGGCCAGACGTAATTCAATCCATGCAACTACTTTTCAGTGTCAAACAGAACTGAATATACTGTGCATGTGTGTGTTATATGAAGAATGAATATATTGATTGGATTGTTAATTAAACTGTTAATTCATGATGTAAATAAGTAATGTTTGGACTATTATTGCTATATAATAACTGGAATTTGCATTTTTTATGAATTTAAAAAAAGAATTTCAATTAAACTTGGCTATATAGATATTTCCTGCCATGTCAAGAAATAATCCTATCTCTCAATGCATCATTCTAACATCTAATTAATGAATACTGTAAATTCAGAAATTATTGCGTGCATTTATTATTGCAATTTTGTCATTTTAGACTAAAATGCGATATTGAGAAAAATCCTGTTTAATTCATATAAAAATTTCAAAATGAGAGTTTAAATTATTGCGATTATAACCCTGTCACATTTTTCGCAATAATAAAACATCGCAATAATTTCTGAATTTACAGTACATGTTGTTGTGTTCCTCTTGGCTCTACTGGTGAGCAGTGAGCAAGGATCACAAGCTATAGTTTGTGTTTTCTACAAATATAGTCACTAGTGTGAACAGTGTATTACTTGAAAAAAAGTATTTGTTGTATTAAGTGTCCTTACAGAAGTACTAATCAATTTGTTATTATATATATAACAATTAATTATAGACCATTGGGTGATCTTCAATTTAAAGCATAAATATTTTTATTGTAAATGGCATTTATTAATTCAAATTTATGCTTCAATAAATATGGATAGCGTCATGAATAAATCTACCTGACATTTTGGTCATGGTTGTTTAAATTTCTTCTCAATAATGACTCGTTTATTTAAATTTAACATTTACGCTTTCGTATTTTTGCTGTATGTGTTGGAAAAATTATAATGTAAAATAGTAAACATGTATTAATTTACTAATTGAAATCAATATCAAAGCTGTGACAATTGTAATGAATTGCATATTTTCCCTTTATTTTAACTATTATGAGTAAATTAAAATCAATATTGAAATGCTTGGGTTAGTCTTCAATGGTAAAGTTTAAAAGTAAACTAACACAATGGGTGGAGAGTTGTCTCATTGGCACTCATACCACATCTTCTTATATCTAACACAACTTTTGCCCTTAAGGAGGTAAATATCTGTTAACATGTTTAAGTTAATGGATATTTTATGGACCAGGATTAATAATGAAAAGAATTAATTGCATGTAGTACCAGTAATTGTCTGTTGAAATAAAATGAAGCAAAACATGAAACTGTTAATATATTGAAACATCCATGACATCCCTATGAATAAAGGATGATATGGATAATTCGTGGATGAATACAAACCCCTTAACATCAAATTGTCTATATTTGGAGTAAGAACTTATGAATTTTTCTATATTTTTGATATGATTTGTCCTAAAGTTGTACTCTAAAAATCTTGTTGAGAAAGTGCAGGTGAAATTTTTATTAATTTGCATTAATTGTTATAAAGAAATGCTCTACAAAATAACCGTGTTCTGAGGCCTAATGTCTGTACTAAACATGTATGTCAAGCTCTTAGGGGACAATCATATGATAAATCATTTTCTGGTGGTGATTTTGGAAATAAATATGCTCAAGCCTGATGAGAAATAAAATTTAATAATAAGTGAAAATCAAGAAAATGTAATAGGTATCCCCTTTATTGCCAGTACACCATGATATGTGTATAAATTTTGACATGTTTAGTGAGATTCACAGAAGATAATCCATCAACACCAAATTTCTGAACCTTGTTGAAAGGACAGAATAAAACCACCAAGAGACAAGTTATCAGTAGGGGCATCCAAATATTTTTTTTTGCAGATTTAAAAAAAAAATCTCCTCTGAAGGGTTGTTTTTGACATAGAAATTAAATCTCCTTGAAAACCTGCTCTTCTTATTTAAAAAATAATCCATTTAAGTATAAACATTAAAAACTTAATGGCACAAGCATTCAATTTGATGACTAGTACCTTCCTGTACGTGTCATGATTCTCTTTACAAAACAATAAATACTAAACTGACTAACTGGAAAAACATCAAATTCTCTAAGTGAAATAATATTTTTTAATGAACATATAATTTCATAAAATAATTCTAACTTCAAAATTATTCAACATACAGACATACGTATGACAACCTAAAGATACATACTACAGAATTACTTTAAAATCACGGAAGAAAAGATTCTCCCATGACAAATTGTCAACAAGAAGTCATGATGTTAAGGTGGTTTAGACTCCATTTTTAAATGTCATACAAGTGGGAGGTTTAGCTAACTATAAAACCAGGTTTAACCAACCATTTTCATCAGAAAATACCACCTGTACCAAGTCAGGAATATAACAGTTGTTTTCTACTGGTTCTGTTGGTTGATAATGTTATATTTTGTCAGTTTTTATGGATACCCCTTTTTGAATTTACCTTGGAGTTGGTATTTTTGTCATACTTTTGTGACTGACTCAGATTGTCAGATTTTCTAATGGAGGTCAGTGATTCTCAGGTCATACCCTATATAAAAATAAGATGTGGTATGATTGTCAATGAGACAACTATCCACCAGAGTTCAAATGAAGTAGATGTACCGGTAAGCAATTATAGGCAACCATATGGCCTTCAACAATGAGAAAGGTCCAATCGTTTAGTCGGTTATAAATGTCCCCCACATGAAAAATGTGAAACATTTCAAACAAGAAAACCAACGGCCTTTAGAATTTATGACAAAATAATTAACAAAAAACAAATATGATAGACATGAACCAACGACAACCACTGAACTACAGGCTCCTGTCTTGGAATGTGACAAGGTTAAACATCTTTGTTAGGGTTACTTTTTTCTTGTAGACAAGATGATTAGATAACAGGATGAAGGAGTGTGTAAACTGTGGCACTGCTGTAGAAGGGGCAGCTTGGTATGCTCTAGACCAGCAAGTGGCTACCGTCACAGGGGCACCAGTCAGTGCAACAGTGAGAGAGGGGCTGAATGAACTCTTCCAGAATAGAATAGATGATAAGAATAACACTGAGGCTGGACTGTGTGAAAGGTAGGATTATTTTTGAATTTTTCAAATTGTTAATGGATATTGCACGATAAATCTGTGAAGTATTAGTTAATACTGTGGAATGATTTATTTTCATGGGTATCAATTTTCATGGATTGAGGAGAAAATGTATTTTAATGGATACTAGATTTCGTGATTTTGTCCAAGTCTGCATACAAGACTATAGAAAATTTACACCTACAGGGGTAGATACACTTTTTAAATTTGTGGGTAGAACAGCTACACCCAGGAAATCTATGAAAATTGGTATCCCAGAATATTTACTCAACAGCAATCATCCTGTTTCATTTAATATAGAGACAAGCATTCTCAGAGTATTGCATGGCAATACATAGTCCCCTACTGGTTAAAAATTCATTGTACTGGAACAAAATGCTAACTTGATCTATAACTTGTCATGGTGTAAACTATATATATAAACAAATATCAAGTCAATAACTTCAAAAATGACAAAAAAAAGTGTGTGGAAAACTGATTATTTAAGTGAATTTTCCAAGGACCATAACTCTGCACAAAATCATCAGACCGGAACAAAATTCAAGCTTAATCTGTAACTTGTCAAGATAAAACAATATACCAAATATCAAATCAATATCTTAAAGCACGAAGAAAAAAAGCGTGGAAAACTGATTTGCTGGACAGACAGACAGAGTGCAAACCTAAAGTCCCCTTCGACTTCGTTGGTAGGGGACTAATAAGGAAATGTGTTAGTTGAAGGGTTGATCTTTCACAAACATGTTTAGTCCTGCCACATTTCTTATGTTCCTGTCTCTCTAAACCAGTTACCTGTTATTCAGTGATTGTCATTGGTTGTTGTCTGCATATATATGTTTTTCAGTTATTGTTTTTAGCATAAAGCAGGATGTTGTTTTCTCTTCTGAATAGTTTCACATTTTGTCATGCCTACAGGGCCTATTATAGGTTACAGCTCAATGCTGAAGGTCATATAGGTTTTCTGTCCTTGTCATTTGGTGTTTGGTGGATAGTAATGTCTCAATGGCAATCATTTCAAATCTCCTCATCTTTAGGGAGTACCATTTAACTTCAAGAGGGGGGGGTATGGTTTTTTTGTCTGAGTCAGAAAAATTTTTTCGCGCAAAGAACATTTAAAAAAAATTTTCAACGCTATCAATCAAATTATTTTTTTCAAAATTTAACACTATAAGGTATGGGGAAAATCTGGATTCAGAACAATTTTTTTTGTGATCTGCTTGACCACAACATTTTTTTTCCATCAAATTGGGGATCAGAATTTTTTTTCTTTGATGAAGAGACATGTATTGGGAAAAAACAAATTCCAATGAAATCTTTATGACTGATTATAAAATGCAGATTCTGGTATACATGATGTAATATTAATATACTGTAAATTCAGAAATTATTGCGATGTTTTTATTAATGCGAGTAATGCAACTGAATGAGTATCGCAATAATAAAAACTCGCATTCTGATATTGGTCCATATAACTGTATGCAGATTTTCTCAAAATCGCAATAATTTATCTTGTATTTCAGTCCATTCTTCAAAATTCGTAAAAATAAATGCACACAATAATTTCTGAATTTACAGTATCTAGTTTCCTGCCTCCAAAGTTTTATTTGAGATCTTATGAAGAGTTAAACAGATATTTAAAAACATGTTATTTTATGTGACCAACAGTTTTTTATTTAAATCTTTTAAAAGGACTTTTATGACAGATAAGTAATGTCAAGGTCTGGATATTTTTACTTCCTGTTTGAAGTACTTTCAAACATATTTAATGACTTTAAATGTACAAACCGATAGGAACACTTAAGAATGTTGTGCTTTGAAGTGTGAAATTGATAATTTCAACCAAAACTAAGATTTTTTTGAAAGGTTTCATTTCACAGTCATAATATAACTTCCCTATTCAGTAGGGAAAATTTTTCTGTATAGACAATGGAAATTCAATAAGACAGCACATTAAAAACAAAAAAATAGACATCAAATTATCACTACAGTCTATAAAACTGCAAATTAACAACATTAAGACGAGTACAATCAAAGAGACAGAAAATTAACAGTTCAGTCAAAGAGACAGAAATTTAACAGTTCAGTCAAAGAGACAGAAATTTAACTGTTCAGTCAAAGAGACAGAAAATTAACAGTTCAGTCAAAGAGACAGAAAATTAAAAGTACAGCCCGACAGTAAATTAAAGTATGGTCAATGAAACAGCAAATTAACTGTAAAGTCAAGGAGACAACAAAATAACAGTACAGCCAAAGAGACTTCAAATTAACAGTACAATCAACTAGACAGCAAATTAACAGTACAGTCAATATGATAGCAAATTAAAAGTACAGTCAATAAGTCAGCAAATTCACAGTACAGTCATTTAGACAGTAAATTCACCTACAGTTATTAAGACAGCAAATTAACAAGAAAAATGAAACAGAAAATTACCAGTTTGGTCAGACAGCAAATGACAAGTACAGTCAATGAGACAGCTACTTAACAACAAAAAGTTAGACCTCAAATTAACAGTATGTTCAAAAAGACAGAAAATAACAACAAAAATGAGATAGAAAATCAACAGTACAGTGAAAGAAACAGAAAATTAACAGTACAGTCAGTTAGCAAATTAACAGTATAGCCTATGAAACAACAAATTGACAGTACAGTCAATGAGACTTCAAACTAAAAGTACAGATGTTTAGACAGAAAATTAAAAAAAATGAGACAGAAAATTAACAGTACAGTACTACAGTAATTAACGGTACAGTCAAAGCAAATTAACAGTACAGTCAACTTGAGTCAAGGAGACAGCAAATTAACAGTACAGTCAATGAGACAGCAAATCAACAGTACAGTCAATTTGACAGTAAATTAACAGTACAGTAAATATTTATTTATCTCAAGACAGAACTTCTCTCAATGTATGAGTATAGATATTGGGGTTTATACATCTATTTTGTGAGTTTGTTTACAGTTCACAGCATCAAATGTAGGAAGAAATCATTTTCAAGTTATAGATTACCTTGATTGCATTGAGTTACAAAAGACTGTAGATATTAAAAACTGCATATAAAAAATATTTTTGAAAGAAAGTGCTCTTATCTGTAAAGTTTCTGTTAGAAGGCTTTAAATGTACCAAGTTTTCTCCTTAGAATTTTCCAATAGCATCATGGGAATTTGAAATAGCAAAGATGATAGCACCACATTAATAATAAATCTATAATAAAATCTATTCAGATTGAACCATTGTAAAAGATCTATAGTACCAATGGTACCATGATGTTATAAGGCCTAGGGGAGATTCCTGACAACACTGGTTTACCTCTAGTATTTAGTATACAGATCAATTTCAGCTTCTACTTGTATTATTTTTCAATCATAAATTTACTTAAACAGAACGATAAAATTGGTAATAACTTCCTGATGAATGTATAAATATATACCACTTCAACTTCACTTCTTCTTTACGGAAATATTAGATTAAAAATATCATGGATGTATTCGTTAGTAATATAATTCTTTGAAATTGTTAACAATATTATTTTTGGATTGGACCTTCTTTTTTATCTACCAGTACCTTAAAATATGTGTTACATTAGCTGATTCAGGGATTCAGGGGATGGGGTGGGGGGTGGAGGGGGGGGGGGGTGGAGTGTTCATGTTGTTGGAACACCCCTTTTTTGTTTGTCTGTTGTTTTTTTTTAAATAATGTGAATGTGTTTTATGGTGTTCCGAAGTTTGGCCCCCCCCCCCCCCCCCCTTTTCAAAATGGCTGAATCCATGCCTGTGTTATGATTTTTTAAGGAAAATACAGAAAAACGTGTTAAATGTACGCTAGCTATTTCAAAAAAATATTCTGCAACTGCATGTGGATTGTGGAGTAAGGCAGTGAAATCTTTAAAAAGGGCTGAAAAAATACATAACTGAATGAGCTGTTTTGATCATATTCTTAAACTGATTCTGGAAAGATGGATAATTTTTTTCACTTAGATATGATAAATAAATGTTTACCCAGTTAGATACTTAAAAGTATGATGATAATAATTATAACTTCCACTCTAAAAGTGGGGCTATACTACATTCACCTTGTCCATTCCTAATGCTTTATAAAGATAAGGAGATGTGGTACATGTATGATTGCCAATGAGACATTACTATCTATCAAAGTTCAATTGAAGTGGATGTTAAAGCAATTATAGGCAACTAACTGTATGACCTTCAACAACGAGAAAAAACTTGGTTCATTTGTCAGAAAAATATTTTTGTCACACTTTTGTCAGGTATTATGGAACAGAATGACTTCATACTTGATAGGCAACTTGAAAGTGATGAGTTGTAATGTTTGAGCACTTTTCAGATTTGTCAGGTACATTTTTACTGTATGTTGATATTTGTATTTTCCAAAAGGCTGAATGAACTTAATTTTTTTGTCACACATTTCTCCACTAAGCAGAATGACTTCATATCTGGCCTGCAGCTCAGCAGTGAATCATTGTCTTGCAATAATTATATGTATTTAAGACTTGAATTCTTCTATTTGTAATTTTATTGGGGTGTAAAAGTGTTGATGGAAGCCCATTTGGTATAATGCATGGAAGTGCTACATACTGAAAATGAGTACACATTCAACACTTTTACAACCCTACAAAATTACTAGAAGCATTCAATTATTACAATTATATTTTTATGCTACAAACATGAAATAACAAGCTATATCAAGTTTTTCTTTGTTTCCTTTCCATTTTTGTGACATTAATAGAAGAATGTGCAGTCATGAATGTTGCATTTTATTGGGTATTAAAATTTGATTTTAGACTTTCTGACAATTGGTCTCTTCCAATAACAAATAAGGATTCTTATAAAACATACCGGTGTCATTTGGTATTTTGAACCCCATGGAAAATTGACCCCCCCCCCCCCTGTATGGAAAATGGGGGTAAATCGAACCCCCCTGTTTTTTCCCTTCTAGATAATTATTAGAACATTATACATTATTTTAAAGATT